TATGAGGCTCCTGGGATTTCAATTTGCTCATATGTATAATCACGACACATGAGCAATCACGATGCCATTTTGTAATCCCAATTGGGCACTACTGTGACCTATAATAGATGAATGTGTGATAATGTAGTTTTTTATTGATCCCAAGAGAGCAATCTACATTACAGAAAGTTAATAGCTACTGGTGTGGATTGACATGACACCGGATGTGAACTAATGACTGGTATAAGGTCACGATGATCCTGAACATGCAAGGAAGTAAGTAAGTTTCATATAATTACAGTCAGATCTTTCTTCTCGAGCCGCTCATAGTTGCTTCAACTTCTCTTTCAGTCATTTGCACTCTTCTTGTGACTGGTATACTTATTTTGTGGTCTCGTAATTATGTACGAGTTTTGTTTTCTCTATTTTTATTGCATGTGAGTATATTTAATGTAATGGCATTCTTTTATTTGTCTTGGCAAAATAATCTGGCAAAATTGAAATCTAATCAATATAACATCGTTCAAAAACCTTGAGAACTTTATTCTCCACGAAAATAGCAGTTGTTAGAATAAATGTTTGTAAACTGTTTTGAATGAAGTTTAAGACGGGTGTTATTGGATTAGGGGGGTTAAAATTGCTAGAGCGATCAGACATGGACAATAAACACGAGGGTTTAATTGAAACTTGGTGAGACTTTCTACACCAATAATTCTATTTTCTACTTTCGATTTCAGATTGATTTTCTTGATATTATCCATTTGATACGATATTCGGTACTCTCTGCAATTTTCTGTAAGAGTATAAAAAAACTCGAGAACCAAAGTAACCAATAATGAAACTCAGAACAGGACTCCTTTCACTTAAAATATTGTATATAAGGCTAAGGTCTTTCAAAAGTTCTTGAGGAAACTTTAAAACAAAACTCTTTTTCATGTGCGGGTCTATCTTACATTTTGTTTGTTAATGTTAGATTTAATAATAATAAATGATAGAATAAACCCTCAATTTTTCAGTAAGACGATGCTCATATTTTGGAATTGCTCAATTTATGCTGCTGCAGGCCTAATCCACATCAGGTCAGCCAGAAACGGACGTATATGAGAATAGTTTACACTACTGTCGAGTTAAAGATCATTGTGCTTGGCAGGATTCGTCTCCGAGTGTATATCGTCTAAACAAACCGAATTACAACCTTCCAATTTCTACAGTTTCAATATGGTAGAAGAAACGAAATTAACTACCTCGATATCTCACTAAACGTTTCATTTCCTGTATAACAACATCTGGAGTCGAAAATAAAATTAACTGCTTGTATAAGGAATGGCTTAATAACACGTTTTCAACAACTAACAAACGTAAGGTTGTCTTGGCTGTCTCTATTTTTGTGAGGAATCATTCCTCTCTGATTATAACATTTGTAATTAAAATGAAATAGGATACGTTAATTACCCCTTCCTGACATATAACCTTCATTCTCTATATGCACCGTGGAAATAACTTGTTTTCCCTATTTTTAGAAGATAACTTTTCATAATGCCTGAACATGTGACTACTTTTAATAATGCACACCGTTCATTAAGCATATGCTAGGACTCTTTTATTATGCATTGTATAACATTTGGTAAAAATGAAAATATTTCCTGACGAAATGTAATTAAGATGGTGAAGAGAAAATCTACATTATAAACTAAACACACACATTTCATTCAAATCTAATTTAATTTTTGACAGTTTGGTCTAATGAGATGTCAATCATAGAAGATTTGTACGATACACAAATTTCACTATTTCTCACAGGTTAATTATGTAGGTATATACATCAAAGACATGCCGATACAGGTAATCAAAATTCTCTAGATTTCAAATAGATATTTTAATTCTAATTAATAACTTAAGGTCTATCTTGATATGAAATAGTGTTTAACACACTTCCCTTCACTGAGCCTGTACGATGTGGAATAGTCTAGCTTGGTGGATTGGAAAACTGGAACACGGAACCAACCAAAAATATAAGTTCTACTATATGCACATACTCTCTGGAAGATTAGGAAGAGGGTGGGGGAACATCATATGGACGGCTCTGATGGACTTGCTTTTAATTGCCTGTCGACCAGAGTTCACCTTGCAAAACGCCAATTGTTCATCGTAATGAACAGAATTGAGTATTCCTCAACCAATGTTGTTTTGTATATTTCAAATGAACCAATCACACGCAATCGTGTGTCGTTTAATCAACTTCCGGTATATTAAATGGTACTAATATCAGTTAATTACTTGCGTTTAGTCTGGTCACGGATTCGACAGTTCATCGTTATTTCTAGGTATGTGGAAAGTTTAATAGACCATCTAATAGTTCGATGATCGAATAAAACCTGAATAAAAAAATTAAATGTGAAATTACAAAGTTCGAACCGTTTTGCTCTTACATGATTCTTGTTAATGTCCACAATAAAAGGTAACTTTTTGTTAACGCGCATTCTCTGCCTCCAACTCTTGACCTGCATACTGGTAGAAGACAAGAGGTTAAATAAACCACAATACTGCCCATGCCGATATCAAACATCCAGGAATAAGTCTCTTATTTATTATGTGTTATATTTCAATCGACTTTAAAATCCGCTTCTATCCTGTCAGCATGAAAACCAGATACCCTATTTACAGTCTTGTAATCTCAGATTCTGCACGACCTTGGTTATATAGAAAGAAGACCATCTTTAATTACACAATAAATTGCTTTTAGTAATAGATCGATCACCTTATGTAAATTCCAATATATTTTATGGGGAAAATGTCTTTTTACATCACTAGACGTTTTAAATTAATGATCCACGGCGGTCAATTGGTGTGGTAATAATTCGTTATGATAAAGCTGTAGTGAAATAAATTCGTAGTGAAAGAAATTTCAGCACAACAGATTTTGTTAAGGTCAAATTATTTGTTAAATGTGACAAAGTTCCGGACGATTGTTTTTCCAAAGCACACATATTTATGTTCTCGGAATTGTTATCATTTCCTGCAACAACCATACTGGGTTAAAATACTTTCTAACATATTTCTAAGATACTACATGTACATGCTTAACGGACACTGATCTATTACGTTTATAAAATTCGGATCTTAAGGCTCTTGTATATGTCTATCTGAAAGCATTTAACATTTTAATAAGGTGTACAGTCGTAAGACAGACTTTTACGGGTGCATGTCATTAAATCATAAAGGAGCTAAACCAAATACATAATATCACAGGACAGGTAGAACAAAAAAACGAAAGTAATAAAAAGTTAAGGGTCGCGATAGTCATAAGTGATAAAAAGCCTCTTCACTCAATTTCATTTACTGAATAATAAGACGTAAAACTCCAATCCATTCTATATAATATTGTTTACTAAAAATACCAATCAAGAAACAATAGTAGAGAATCCACTTAAATCTTTAGCCTATTAAACGATATTAGCTGTTAAAAATAAGTTATTCCAAACACGTTCTGTCAATATTAGAAGAGACGATTATTCTGTTTAAAGCATCATACTAGATCTGAGGTTTCCTATATTTGATGCAGCTATTCTCGGGAGAGATGAAAAATAGATGATAATTGAATTTAATCCAATTATTTTGCTGAGTAATTGTTTTGTGCATGCAAATACTTAAAAGTAAATTATATTATACATTTTGAACTATTTTTGTAAATCGTATTTTTAATACATCAATCCAACCTTGTCTGATATCGTGAAAAATATACCACATTCTTACTTTAATAGGAGGGTCCAAATATGGTGACCCTTAAGCAGCACGGGTATATAAGTTAACAGCTTCACAGTAAGAAAACCTATGGAATATAACCAATATTTAATAACTCTTGAGCATATTTTATATTTTGCTATGAATGTTTGATGATTATGTTGTTTCTCATGATTTTTACCTTTTTTTATTTTGGTATTTCCAGCTATAACTATCACAAAGGCCCTTCGATTTTATTAGCAGCTCTTCGATAGTGGTGCCGTAAACGTTTAAGCATAATGACAAGAACCATAGAAATCTACAGGCAAAAGTTCGAATGATGCAAATAGAATGCACAAATGGCTGGCCCTTATACACATAAAGATGCTTGCCAGGGAAGGTAATATACTTCGACTGGCAGCTTGATTGTGAATAAAATATTCAACCTACAGTCATACACTTGGTTTTAACTTTTTATGGCGATACTGAATAATATTACCAAGTTTCGTAAAAATCTGTCAAGAATTGTGCCATCTAGAGTGTATACGGGCTAAAAATTGAACTCTTTTTCAAGAACAGAGGCAATAACTCATACTAAATATGTTTTCAATTTTTTCTGTATTTCCATAAGGTTCATCCTTGGGTGATACCAAACATTCACACCAAGTGTCGTCATAATCCGACAAGAATTGTGCCTTCTGGAGTGTTTACGAGCTAAAAATTGAAACGCGTTTTCAAGAACAAGGGCAATAACTCACACTAAATATTTTTCGATTTTTCGTCAAAATCTGTCAATAATTGAACCTTGGGTGTTTGCAAGCTAAAATTGGACGCTTTTTCAAAAACAAGGCGATAACTCGTATTATTTTTTTCGACTTTTCTGATTTTCAATAGGCTTCATCCATGGGCGAAAGCAAACACTCACACCAAATTTTATCGAAATCCCTAAAAAATTGCGCCTTCTAGAGTGTTTTCTGGTTGGAACGGGTGTTTTGGGAATTTATTGTATAGTAAATTAGTATATTTTATTTTATATTTTAGAGTAATTAAGATATATTAAATAACAGTAACATTTTATATACCATGTTTAATCAGAATGTGGTCTACATATTTGGAAATAAAGCGATAAATTGGGATATATTTGTATTAGCAGCTGCGACGAGAACTGTCAGAAAAGAGGATTGACGGGTGTTAAGAAAAAAATAAAACAAAAAACATATATCATTGATATTAAGCCTATAACTTTGATGGCATTCAGCTTCGGTGATAAAGGTTTGTTGAATGATCCGCTGGTTTTTGTTTTAATTTTGAGGGACTGAAAAAGAAAGATTAGAGAGGATATTAAAAGGAAAGAAGGATTAGATCCCACAACTATCATTTGTTCAACGTCTTCAAGCAAATGACCTTGTGTATAGATTACAACGCTCTGACGCTCTTGTGCTACAAGTGAGGTTTTTTTTAAATCGTAAGCATGAAACTGTAAATGAAGTTATTCATATGCCATTGAAATATCTTCGAAATAAATGCGTATCCACGATGACGACCAAGCAATTCTTTTTGTACAATAACTAACAACGTTGACGACCTGTATCAATTAATAATTATGAGTTTAAATAGATTACCTATACAAAAAAATGTTATTTCCCATTGTCCATCTGTCCCACAAGTCATATTTCCAGTGGGACCAAACTTACTGAAACCAGGTCTACAGTCAAACGTGAAATTTTCACCCAATGTGCCTACTATTGTTGTATCAGTAGAATTGGTTATCGGATCACCAGCTGGACATTGCACTTCTATAGAATTGAGAATAGAACATGAGAATTAGTGAAAATTGAGTTTAAAAAACATAGAAATTGATCAAACAAAAACAGATGAGAATGAATGAAAATTAACAAATCAAAGATAATTAAGAAACGTCCTGGCACTTTGAATAGAATATCAACTAAACTTTCATTTACTATCAAAAGCATTACAACAGGTTCAAGATCAACAGACTTTCACACGTCAACCAAGATTAGAATCAAACATCACTATTCTGTGCGACGTAACCAAGCAAACCTCGTGGACAGATTCTACTGTGCTACAATTGTAAGCATTCTTGTGTGATGGAAACATTTGTCTCGTAAGCAAGTAAGCACGAGTAGATCATTGTTGATAGCATTTATCAAACAATAAATTTTAGTTTGAAGATATTACCTTCACATGCAGTGTCTATGTTCCATTGTCCATCTGTCCCACAAGTCATATTTCCAGTGGGACCAAACTTACTGAAACCAGGTTTACAGTCAAATGTGAAATTTGCACCCAATGTGCCTGTTATTGTTGTATCAATAGAATTTGATATCGGTTCACCAGCTGGACATTGCACAACTATAGAATTTGAGAATAGAAAACATGAGAATTATTGAAAATTGAGTGAATGAGTTTCCCCTCATTGTACACTGCATGAGCCAATTTGAATATTGTATTAATAGCAATTGATAATTGATAATACTCCGTTTTTAATATTCTTAATTGACACCAGATATACGATCTTGCACTGAACTTCCTAAGACAATTCCCAATTTGTTTTGCACAAATCGTTGACATGAAAATTGTATCTAACTAAAGGAACTTTCATTGGTGGATTTTATTGTCGTCATTATGTGAACCAATCACGGACAAGAGCTTGTTACAAATATCGTCTCACCTTTACATGTTACCTGTGGACGCCATGATCGACGACGGCAGATACCAGTAACGCTTAACTTGTAACCGATGTTACATTTATAGGTTACTTTATTCACTTCATTCTTTATAACATTTCCATTATCAAGGGTTGGTGTTTTTCTGCACACTAATCATTCAGAAAAAAATGGAATGTTATATTCGTGTTCCCTATATGACTGATCAATGAGCCAAAGATTGAAATACATGTGTTATAGGACAAACTCATAGATAGCAAGTTCGAATTTATTCCTCGACTAGATACTATCCTCAAATAATAGCCTTGAAAATTTAAATCGGTTGACAATTTGCTCGCCTCATCAAGCCAAATAATTATTCCCGAATGAAACAAGCTGTATGAGATAGTACTCGTCAATGTCGACACTTTTATGATATTTCTTATGCTGCAAATCTGAAAAACATACTCAAGTCATCAACAAAAAAAACTCATCATCCTTTGCTTTGTGCAATCCTTCAAGCCAAAATAAAGGGAATCGTCCTAACTTGCAGCTTGAGCATGAACTAAATGTGCATAGACGGATCAACTCCCAGACCGATATATAATTGGGGGATAAAAGACACCCCAATATGCGTGGATTTGTCAAACAATTTAGTTATCTTACCGGCTGAACGACTGCTATTTGAGGAATGCGTTAAATCTACGAGAGTTAAAACCATAAGTAAAACTAGTCGTAGTGCCATATTAAACTAAATAGCAAGAATATAATTAAGTGCCATTGACACTTGCTTTTTCTTCTACGTTTATATACCTGTTTGAAAATTATTAATCAAATAAATTAATTGATAGAAAAATTGTTTATCACATAAAATAAATTAGTACAGTAAATATAAACTTATTTATATAAAAATGAAATGAGTAACAGGTGTCAAACGTGGTCCTTAAGAGGTCAAAAGAGTACGTCGAGTCCACCGAACTTGATTTGGCGGGGTAACGTCGAACCAATAGTGATCGTTGTTTTTAATCTCGGTCAGCTTTTGAAAGTCTGGAATGATTCATCTAATTCCTAGTTCTAGTCGAATAAGCTGTCAATCCGCACAGATAATCCAGGAAAGATCAAAGCCAAGAGGGTGATCATCACTGATGCAAGTAAAGGTAGACATGGAACAATGTCAGTCGTTCGGATGGCGCCGGACCAAACTGGGCCATAAATGAATCCACAAAGAAATTTCCGAATATTTTGCAATGTCTCTGTGCCTTACCCGATACCACTTTACAGTCATGTAGTATGTTTTTCCTTATTTGTACAACTTCTTAAGTTAAGGCTAGCCTTAATTGCAAAATGGGCTAGTATAATTTAAACTTAACAATTAACATCAGTTATGGAATTCCACAGGACGACTTTCACTGTCAATTACCTTTTTAGAGGGAAACTTAAGGGGATATCCCGCTTTTTGTAAAAAGTTTTCATTTTTATTATGATTATTACCTGAAAATATTTCGAAAGTATGCTATTTATATATATATATTTTCTTAATCAAACTGAATTTGTTTTGAAAGGGTTAATTTTTCTATTAAAACGGAGAGTACGGGCTTTATAATGGACCGATATTATTAGTTGAAACCCCTAAAATACGAAGGAGACATAATTCTCTACAATTTGGCGTTTACTTTACTCAAATCCGTACAGTAGTTTTCAAACAGCTTCCAAAAAGCATAACGAACTTAAAACCATAACGTAATGTTTTAGATATTTTTGGCGTTTAAATATTGACAGCTGGATTGACATTTTTGTAGATTCATGTGTATAGTATTCACAAATCTGAGCAAAACATATTTTCTTCGACCTACAAAAGCCGAATGTCCCTTTAAGGTATATACACTGACGCGGTATGTATATTTAAAGACCTACATATATATAAATATTTTTCCTCTGTAAATGATTATATATGTTTGCCAAAGTTCCATAAGTCATGCTAAATTATCTTTGAACATGTAATTATGTCTTAAAATATGTTTGTTGCAGACCATCAATAACACAAGAAAAACGGAGACAATGGCAGTTAAAATTACCAGTTGTGATGTCAATGCTATTGTTTTGTAGATGATAAAACGGTCAAGTACACAACGTTTCATATTTAGCTGTTTCTTGAAAAGGCCATTGTGCCTTAATTTCAATGTGTAAAATGGGCTTATTATGTGTGATATTGTACGTACATGTATGTTCTTTGCATCGTTTCTATGTGTTGACCTGGCGACGGGGAAACCATTTTAACCCCATACATGATATACGGGCCCACGACTCTTCACTTTCGGAGGTACGTTTGTGATATCGCTGCTGATTTGGTTATTATTAATTAGTCGTCCAATGAGAATCCATTACAGTACAGTAAAAAATTCACGAGAGGTATATTTCCCTAGATGTTGGCATGCCGTTTGCTGTATTTCACGCTCTTAAATCGATTGAAAAAAGCATACTGTTCCTCTGTAAGGCATTTACCAGCCAGCTGACATGATTTCAAGCTACACACACGATATTGTACACGAATGAGAAGGAAGTCTGAGGGTTTCGAAGTAAAATGCATGATCGCTGATCTTAAGGTCCGGTTTTTCATATTTTACCTGGTCAGTAATGTAGGTTCATTAAGACTAAGTAGATTGATGATTTACTGTTAAAATCGTAAAAGATTTCCTGGAAGTCGATAAGGCTTGTTTGACCGTTCAGCACAAGGGGGATAACTACATTTAAAACAAAATTCTTGATAAGACTAATACTTAAATGTACAATATTCTATTTACCATTCCTAATCAAGAACATTTTAGTAATAACTGCCTTAATTTTATTGTAACGCATATGCCCAATAATTGTTAACTTTCGCTCAAAAAGGTAATTGAAATTGACGAAGTTTTTACATTTCAATATCCGTATTCGATCGCGTTGTTGACAAATACCACAAAAAGGTTTACCACATCCTGGGTCAGAAAAGGGTCTCTTTATTAGATAAAAAATTTATATTTCACATACTTTGGTCTAATATATGGTTCCAATATTTTTCATTGATATTTTCATGAATAATTTTAGGTATTCTCCTTTAAACTTTACTCAGTGGTCTGTATAGATGGCAATCTTGTTGTTGCATTATTGAAATTTGTCATAGGAGCCAAGAACGTGAACATATGTATAGAACGTGTCAATAGATAGATAGAATAATTTCTTTGACTTCTGATGCAGCGTATAATATATTGAATATGTTAAAAGAGTGCTTATCACACATGAAGTTTCATGAAATGAATTGCAAGATTTTTAATCAAAGTAATGTTATTTGAAACAAGTTCATGCTTTTAACTTCAATTATAGCAGCTGAGTCGTCAACTTCAAAGTATGCAATGTTGTATTGTTTATCTGGCGCATGAATACATTACCTACTAGTACATAATTTACATAGATATCAACCTGTGAAGAACCCGGGAACAGTACTGTACTGAAAGATACTGCATGTTCATTATAAACGAAATTAAATTTCCATTAAACACCAAGATACACAATGAAAAAATACATCAAATCTTCAGCGGAAAGTACAGGCAGCATATGTAGCAAAACAGGTATCTATACGCCGATGGTGACGAAGTTCATGACGTCTTTGACCCTCCTACAAAATTATTTTCAACTTAGTTTTATTCACACCCAATATAGACGCCCCTGCGAGGATGTACAAACATTTTAATACATAGCAAACAGTAGGCTCTCTGAATAACCAGTAAAATTGCCAAAGAGTTTTGAATTTTTATTGGTGAAAATATTCAATTGATAACAATCAGACACCAATTTAACACTGAAGATATGACACATTGGTAACACATAACATTTCATAGCACATTGACCATATCCTTGTACACTGTACGTCATATCCGTTAAATATGTTAATTACTGTTACTGCTGCAATTCAACAATATATAGGAAATGCGACTGGTGAGACAATGGATAGCAAGAACACATCAGTACGGAGCATATCATACACTGAGGAGCAGAGGATTCAAATGGATTGAAACATTTTCTGAAAATGGGCATTGCTTCCTTTAACGAATGGCCTGAAATGGTGACTCCTCATAAATAGCAGGGATACGTTAATGAGGAGGGCAATTTTCCCATCTTAAACATACGCTCTTACACTACACTATTAGCAACTGGTACATTTTCAGGTACAGATATCAAATCGCCATATAGAGAAACGGGATTTAGTAGGTCACACCTCTGGTGAAATATTCGTAGGATCAAAAAAAGTTCACGGGAAAACGATTATATCGTCTTAGACTACTCATGTGGCAGTCCAGGATAGGAGGGACTTAAAAAAAAGAGACATGCTTCATGAGGATTACGGCGGGAAACTTCTTCAGTGCGTCATTTCCTATTGTTCTCAACACATGTAATGTATATGACTCTCCTGGCAAGGTTAAAGAGGTTAAAGTTTCCAAATTTTATAATTGCGTTTATATTAATCTACATTATGAAATTATGACAAAATTCATACCTTTTCGTATCCAACAAAGTTGTCTTGTTTGTAGAATTCGGTCTTCATTCAACATTTTATCCGTTTTCCAGCGTTTTTATTCATTTTCTCGATATTTTTTTTGGACTGACACTTGAGTAGTCTAAGACCATAAAATCGTTTTCCCGTGAACCTTTTTTTTTTGGTCCTAGAATATTTCACCAGAGGTGTTAGATGGTGATGATAATCAAATGCTGCTTATCAAATATCTTGGGTTATATCATTTCTAAGAATATCATAAGGCCAAACACAGTCATATTAGACTCAATATGTGTGCAAATTAGATCATTTATCGATATGGCCTCTAATAACAAAACTTTCCGGAAATAGCACTACACTTATTGGACTGACAAAGAAAAAGGTTAACTTTAACGTTGGCTTTTGTAGGTTTTAATATTAATTCTAATCCTAGTAGCAACAGAAACAGCATTCTATTCGTCAATAATAGCTTTGTATAATTAATGGTTACGTTTCTATTATGCTTTTGCTAAACGGTCACTGGCAGTTTGTGGGCCCGAGAATGTTCTTCCACGACATCTTAGATTAATAAGCTTATGCAGTCAAAATGCGTCCTTAAATTCATTATTTTTTACAATCAACTTCGGTCTCAGTTCCTGTATGGCGCCTTTCCTTTCATCTGCTCAATTATAATATATATACCTACTAGTGTACTGGGTGCTATTAAAAATAAAATATAAATCATTTTGCCTATTAATACGGTCGAAATAGATTAACATAAGCTTTCTGTTTGTGTTTGGATGGACTATATTGTCTAGCATCTTCTTATATATAATGTTCTTTGTATGTAAATACATATTGCATTAACTAGTGCATTTAAGCCATAGGCAATAGCTCAACAAATGTTCGTAAAGTTATTGCCTACAGAGAACTCATCAATATACACATATATACCAAGTTCCGTCAAGATCAAATAATTGTTAATTTATTCGAACGTAACGATATCCTTATGACATGATAGAAACTATCATATCTACAAGAAATGTCTAGGACAGGCGTGACTGACTGTTTTCCAAATCCCTCCTTAACAATCCTAAATGATTTCCGTTTCGTCCCTTCTCTAATTCGCCCCTTGCTATTGGTCCCTTACCAATTTCGACCCTTCCCACTTCACTCCCGTCCTATTTCACACTTTGCCCTTTCCTTTTAAAAAAAATAAGCTACAAAAAGTATTATGG